TTTTTTTTTTTTTTTTTTTTTAAAAACTAGTCACTAAAAAAGTGGGTTTGCCAGATGAGTGGAATACACTTCCCTTGCATTCAGTTGAACACCAGTACTGGAGGTGGGCTGGAACAAAAGTTAGGGATGAGACTTTTGTCAGCACTCATGACAGTTACTACAGTGAGCTGTTTTATGAAATAATAGAGGTTGCCTGTCCCTTACTTTTACTCTCTTCTCTGATGTCTCCACTGCTCGTCTTTTACCGAAGAAGAAATCAACAAATGGAAATATTTTGATTCTATGTAATGTGTAACCCACATAATGTTACAGTGCTGCCACAGAGTTATGTTCGCACAACTGAAAGAGCAACTAGCTGCATGAGGGTGTCAAGACTTGATAATTTGCTTTCCAGAATCAGTGACTTGTCAAATGAAACCCTAAGCTTGCTACAACAGGTCGCCTCAAATTAGCTTACCATGGTCATGTCTGAAAGCTGTCTAACAAGGTTGAGGCTTAATTTACTTTTTGTTGAGTCCTAGAAACTTGTAAAATGTATCAGCACACCGCTGATATTCCATATGACTAAACTCTTGTATGGAGCTGAAACAATTCAAAGGACTGGTGCTGAGATGAAGCATGTGTAAGCCATCAACTTTTAGGCATTAGTTAGGCCAACTTTCTTCACTTAATCCCTGACCATTTAGTAAAACTACACCTACCTTGTCAAGTGCAGATAAGAGTGAGTGTAATTGCTAGAAGTAAAATCTGTGGAACACAGTCTAACAGATAAGGTCCCATTACCCTAATCATAATTTCTGTCTATCTTAACACCGTACATACTTGAAAAAGTCTGTAATGGCTTCTGCTAGAACCAGGTAGGCAAAGTTAAGCTGCATTACAGAGTTGGCTCTATACTTTAATTCTGTATTTCTTTGCTTTTAAAGTTGTGTTAACTCTTCCTCTTCTGGTTTTCAGAGGTAGCTAAATATTACATTCTGGAAGGTCAGGTGGCACTAGCAATTAACTGTATGTTGACTGTAGCTTTGTGCATTTGAATCTTTTTGGATTCATGTTATTTTTCCTTGTTGCCACTGAAGCAAAGGTGGTAGCATGAGCCACTAAAAGTATTCTTCATGCACCGTGAGAGTTGGGCAGGAGATAACTTAAATCACATGGAATTGAATGGTTTGAAGTTAAATTGTTAATATAATTAAAGAAATTAAAGAAATCTAGATGTTTCCTTAGAGAGATACTTGTCCACGGACACAAGTCAGTCCACTTCTTGGTGGTCTGGTAGTCTTGGTAACTTCTTGTCAACTTAATTTCCAAAATCAAAAAGCGAAGACAATATTTTAATATCTTCATAATTTATTGCAATTGTCCCTTTTTCAGTATTTCTAGACTCAATCTAAAATATAGTATGATAGCTGTTGAAGAAAGGCATTTGGAACAGCCTCCACTGATGAATCCTTGTTCTTCTCAATATAAGGAAAACAAAAATGTCCCAGAAATTAAAAACAAAGATGATAATTCCTTTACTGTGGTACTCAGTCTCCTATAAACATATGTCATTGCCCAATAGTTTCTTACTTCAGACCCTGCCCTTCTCCCTTTACTTCATAAAGGTTTTTGAACTCTTATTTCCATTCAGGGGAAGATGACAGTGTGATTACAAGCTAAGTTTTTAGGGAGGAGACTGTCTTGTAACAATTTATTTATTTTCTGTTTCATGGTTTAAAACCACTCATATGAACCCTTTTCCTAATTTTTAACTAGGTTTCCTTGTTAGAATTTCAGATTATGAAGGAAGTCTCTCTGAATAAAGAATTCAAGTTTTATTCTTAGAATATTCACTTGCAGTGAAAGATGCCTAAATAATATTCTTTCAGGTTAACTTTAATTTAAAAAAAGTCACATTTACATTTGATTTATGCTATCTTTGCAAGTAAGCACTACTGTGTATTTCTAGTATATTGAGATGTTCTCATCAGGTTCTACTAGGGTATTAAAAGACTTCATACTAGTATTGTTCAATATATTGAAACGTGGTGATATTTTTGAGTATTGATACTGCAAAACTTTCCTTTGAGAAGACATTATGAGTCTTACTCATTAGGTGTATATTTATGCATTCTAAACTCTATTTGTGAGTAATTTCAAAGTTTTGCATGAAACAGAGTTTTGACTTCAGTGTTAATACTGAAAATGGAGAATTTGCTTCTGCTGTGTTTGTTATTTGTACTAGCTTTAAAAAATGCTCTGCTTAATTTATTAATCTCAGTCTGAAAGCTGCAGTAACAGGTAATTGGTTTTACAAATGTTTGATCTGATTTAACAATTTGATGTTTTATGTCTTGGATAATAACTTAAGTAATGTGATTTTTTTTTTATTACTCATCACTAACCACAGTTAATATGTATTTTATATTGTCTTAGTGTCTAATGGTCCCGATGAGCTGTGTCAAATTTGAATAGCTATATTTTAAGGACATTCTCTGGACAGCTCGCAGATGACATTTGCATAGCTGCTATCACAGTTCCTGTTAAATCCTGCCTGATAAAACATTCCTTTAAATAGGTATACTTCAGGAAGTGGCTATGTCCTTAGTACAACAAATTACTTTTCCATCACAAATGCCATGGGTGATGAGCAGTACTTCTTCAAGAGAAGTTTTTTTACATAAAATAAAGCCCATGACTCTTCTGAAGGTTTTGCAATAAGGTTTATCTCTGTGGAGACAAAAGGCAAATCACATACCAGCATCAAGTATTAATGGATTTTTGTGTCTCTGTTCAGATAGGTTAAAAATTGTCAAAATAAATTTTCACATCTGTTAATCTTCTAGAAAGTGGTGCAAAGCTTATTTTTATAAATTCTTTCTTTACTAATCTAGGCAGCCAGTTGCAGGGGGTACTGCCTCTACTCCCAGAGCACAGAAGGCCATTGTGAATCATCCGAGTGCTGCCCTAATGGCACTAAGGAGGGGATCAAGAAACCTTGTCTTCAGAGATTTCACAGTTAGTATTGTTTGACTCAAATATTAGATATTGTTACCTGCTACTACGGGGCTTTTACTTTTTTTTTTTCTCTTTACTTTTTTAGGATGAGAAAGAGGGACCAATAACTAAACACATCCGATTAACAGCTGCCTTAATATTAAAAAATATTGGTAAATATTCAGAATGTGGTCGCAGGTAAGCATTGTATGATTCTTCTAATACCAATGGGCAATGTTGTTTCTGTTCTTTTAAGTACTAAACAATAGGTAGGTTTTACTTATCCTTGAAAAAAACCCAGTAAGTATATTGACAGTACAATTTCTCTGTTAGTTCTGCACTAAACAGTGCCCACACGAGTGCTCATCATCATCTCACATCAGACAGTATTTGTGATCCAGACTTTTGAAATATGTCTAGTAAATTTGACAAGTTAACTTTTTGGAGACAGATGAGAGAAGCCTTTGCTGTGGGCCTTTCCCTTTTCCTCCTGAAGGCAGTACTGCATGACTCTGAAAATTAATTCTTCTGTAAGCACAGTCCCTTTGGCAGTACCCTTTTATCTCAACTTGAGAAAGGGGCCAATGAGCTCTTACAAATATTTTCTTAAGTTGTGGGGTGACACACAGTTGCTTTTCATACTTGCTGCCGCTCTGTTGCTTTCCTCTCCAAACTTGGGTTCACTCTAATAAATGACTCAGCTTTCCTCTCAACTTGTAGAAGATCCTTCAGTAAGTAGATAGACCAACACTGACTTGTCCGAAGTAGGAAATGTTCTTTATGATGCAGAAGGAGTAATAGTTACGTACTGTGCCAGTAATCACCATGCATGCCGCTTTTGTTTTTTTCCAGTGTTTTAAGAGCTGAATGTTTTCTTGTTTTGCATTGTTTCAGCTTCATAATAGCGGAAGTAATTATTTCTAATAAGAACCTGTTAATTTTGTCTGTTCTTCAAAAACCTGCCGATAAGGAGGTGTTTCCTAGTTGTAGTTCTAAACAAATGAGTTTTGATACTCATAGAAACCCTCCTGCTGTCTTCAGCTACCTAATTGGGGGTTGTAGTGAAGATAAACTCTTCCTGGAGAGGTAGTAAAAGGGATGAGGGGAAATAAACAGAGGTTGCAGCAACGGAAATTCCAATTAGATATAATGAGTAAAAAAAAAAAAAAAAATGACAAGAGTTGACTGAACATGTGAACAACTTCCCAAAGAGGCTGTGCAATCTCTGTCCTCTTAGGTATTCAAAACCTAACTGGATGTAATTTTGAGCAATGTGATCTAGCTAAGGAGTTGATCCTGCTTTGAGCAGGAGTTGGACCACATAACTTCTAGACGTTCCTTATAACCAGAATTAGTCTATTATTTCAGTGTTCTCAGATTTAAGACATCTTTAAAAGTTTAGATCTTTAAAGTAAAATATTCATGAAGTATTTTTGTAGCACTTTTTAATATTCTTATCTCTTTCAGTGTTAACAATCCACAAAAAGTTCCATTAAGTCAAACACAGAACAAGTTTTGCTATTAACTTTAGCATTCCCTGGTATTTTCCTCTGCTAGGTCCACGTAAAAATGTGTTGTATACATGTCACAGAAATGGTGTTCCACATCTTGATAAGGTGTTTGTGGGATTTTCTGTGCTGTAGTATACCCTTCTTCTGTACAGGTGGTGGTGTTACTCGTGGGCCGTGATAGCTTGAATTTAGTTTCTGCTATTTAAGTGCCTAGTTTCTCTTACAAGATGTGAACAAGTAGATACTGAACAAAAGAAGGCTCAGTCTCCCCTGAAGGCTTTGCCTTATTCACTTTTTTTTGAATTAAAGAACAGGGTTGAAGATTATTTTTAAAGCATGTGTGTTGTGCTTTTTCCTGAGAACTGGCTGATTTCCTTTATGACTTGTGTCACAGCTGTCAGTGGTCATGAGGGAAGATGCCCATCTCTGAGGCAGGGCCTTCCATTCTGACAGGCTGCTGGGAAACTGGGAATCCTTACCGGAGTGAGAGTCAGTAGCTGTGGGTGGAAGCTTTCTTAGTCACTGGACCAACATTTGCCTGAGTTTTCTCATAATTTGTTATATCCACACTTCAGTTATTTTTGCTGTAAGCTAGCAAGCTCAGGTGCTGCTGGCAGTGTAGCCAACAGTGCCAAACCTGCTTCAGTATTGACCGGATTTCTTCTATAATTAGTTTTTTTTTCTGAACTCCTTACTCTGCCAGCTACACCAGTGGCAGTGACCATGTTAATTACTTTGGAGCTGTCATAGCAGATTGGGGAAATCTTCTGTCTGAGATACATGGGTTTATTACTTCATCTGTGCAGATCTCTAATTTCTCTCCCCCTCCCACCGCTTATAACATTACAGATCTTTGAACCCTCACAGCCTGTAATAGCTGCTGAAAAGTAATTACATGAAGTGTGTGCAAAGCCTCTCAAAATGGTTTCAATACTGAAAATGTATGTGCAACATAAAAAATACCGTGATAAACCTAAGTGCTGATGATTCTTTGGTTATTCTTTTCCAGATTGCTAAAAAGACATGAAAATCATCTATCAGTGCTAGCCATTAGTAATATGGAAGCTTCCTCCACACTTGCCAAATGCCTTTATGAACTTAATTTTACTGTCCAGAGTAAAGAACATGAAAAAGACTCTGAAATGCTGCAGTGAGAGAAGTCCCTCTTGTACATCGGGACAGAGATAGTCACACACATTTCAAATACTGTTACTGAAGAAAGCACCAAGTCTTAATGGAACAGAGACCATAGATTGAATTATTTTATCTCCTCCCATGATGCTGAGAGGAAGCTTTGCATTCTGATCACTCAACGAATCCCTTTGTTCTGTTTAGAAAAAGGAGGAAAAAAAAACTGCCATGGGATTTTCAACCAGCTGTCTGCAGGATGTCTCTCAAATCTGATAAATCCTGAAGGAAACTGGTGTGATCAGAATTCAGTACCATCCACATTGGAATAAACATGGAATATTGTAAAACCTACATGAGCAGATGAAATAGAAGCATTAAATATTTTTATCTATATCCAAAAAGGAGCACATTTTTATATTTACGAAACCATTTAAGCTGGTTTGAATAAAAAAATAAAAGTTTCAGCACACCTGTAACCCCCTGGTCTCGGAGGGTGCCACCAGTATCTAGCTATGGATTGCGTGTTTTGTTTAGAAATCAGTAGCTTGGTTTTCTTACTTGAGCCAATATATTTTCACTTATTTATTATCATAAAAATTTACCAGTCTGAATAGATCTTGTAAATATTTGTGAATAGAACACCTTTCATGCCCCTGCAGCCACTGGAAAAAAACATTCTGTGGTGTCCTAGAAGCATTATAGGTAGGTTCTAAAGTTTTCTAGACTTTCCTGTCAATTGTAAGTACTTGTGATATATTCTACGCAGTGGATGAATGTTCTTTAAATTTGTGTAAATAATTCTGCAAAGGTACCGATGCTGTAAAGTCAAAACAGTTTTGTGGAACTGTG